CACGCACCAATGTCTAGTAATGGACGAGAAATGCAGACGGCACTGTTGCTGTTACCGAGTGTGTACTCGTTCCACACACGTGTACTCGTGTAAGAAAAACTGCACGGCAGCAACGCAAGCTTAGAACTTTTGGGAACCGCACGCACACGTTGGTGGTGTCACTGAAATGTACAGCAATGTCTACGTTATTAAAACCTCGGCTGTCTGAAAACCAGGGCAAGGCGTCACATTGTTTTGTACTTTTTTGTGTCGCCGTGATCACGTACGCTAGTAACCCATACGGTATTGACAATCCATGATGTTTAAAAATCCAAACCAACTTCACATGACTTTAAAAACTTGCTACCAATGCGCGCGCACACACCACCATGACCCCCCTTCATTGGAACAACAATGACCTTGGCAGACAACTTGCCTTGTGACATTGTACACAAACACGTAAAACATGTAAACAAATAGCTTGACGCCCGCGGACTGGCCCACAACAGAAAACTTATAGTAATTCTGGTGGCAGAAAACCAATAGCCTTGGCTGCACTTCCAATACGGCACGTCACGAATACTTGGAGGAAAGGAAATAAAACAACCCTGTCGCACCGAAACCTGTGTTGGGCAAAACTTGTATGGGCAAAAAATGTATATATAAGATGTCATCTTTCAATCTGTTGAATCAGCCCTGCTCTCTTTCTCTCTCGTGTGGTAGCGTTTATCCAAAACGTTCAAGAGTTGGGTTTTTTTGGGGGACGATGTTTTCGTTGTCCTTGTGACAATAACTTTGTCGCGACTCGAACGTATCGCGCCGAGTAAAGCAGTAAAGGGAATAGCAAGATCTTTCCAAACGAGGTGGCGGCATTTCTCGCTGGGCGCCACACACACGGGGAGGGCACAATTTGTTGGGGGCAAGAAAAAAACACAAAGCAGGAAGAAAGCAGATGTGTAACAACGATGAGTTTAGGCGGTCGATCATAACAAGAGACGCAATACGCAACTCGTGATGAGCGATAACTGAACCGGTTCTGGAACCCCCCCCCCCAAAAAAAAAATCCCGCTCTGACCGGCTTTGACGTGACACAGCTTGCGGATGGGAGCCTTCATCGAGCAGTGAATTGATAAAGAGCTGTTACAACACCATCATGTACATATCTTGATATAGACTATGTGTATAGTACGCAAACAATACCATTATGTGTATACAGAGTGTGTGTCCTTGTGCAACTCGGAAGCAGGCGACAACCATTGCAGGCAACGACACGTGATTGTACGAACGCCAAGTTATTTTACTTGAGGTGGGGAAAAACAACCGGTTACCTTACTAATTATTACAGATTTTAATTTACGGCACTTCAATAGTTTATGATGAGCTGCACCACACGCGTTTCGTTGCTAGCCCCCCCCCCCCCCCCCACTAAGTACGCGGTACAATGGAACCGTTTTAAACTCGATTTTAATTTAACTCCAGTGGACCTTTTTGGTTGTAATGCACAAACTCTGGTTGAAATCTGCGCCTTTTAATTTGTGTTCTTTAAGAGTGCCGAGTCCGTACGGGTCCTCCCTTTATCGAAAAAAAAACAGGTCTGGAGTTTCAACAAACTTACCGCAAATACTTTGGCAACATGAAAAACAAAAAGAATATCTGGCTATCTTGCGTTCGATAAAGCTTGTTAACTTCACAATTGTCAATTGAACAAAAACTCGGGAGGTCATTCGTGCTGCGGGCATAAGAGGAGAGCAATGGGTGTTTGCGTTGATGCTGCTTTCTTTCTTTCTTTGAACAAGCCCACATGATATAGGACGGCTGGAAACTTTCGTAAAATACTCGTGGAGAACTTTAACGCGGGTCGTGAGCTCTTCATTTCTGACCTTGATGATCGTGTTCACCAATGACGTCTTGTGCAACCACCATCGAGAAGTGTGTGGGGGATTGGGGGGGGGGGTCTCCGTCATATCTTTCACATGAGATCCCCATTAGGGTGGCATCCGGAATCCAAATTAATAGCTTTAAAATGTCCGTAACGTAAAACGACTGCAGACATTTAGATTAATATTGTATGCCTAATGTCGGCTAAGTTACAAAGACAAAGAAAGTTGTTCTTTATGGGGTTTTTTTTATAAACTGTATTTATCGTTTCTCACTACTCGACCAGAAGCGTTCAATGAGTGGTAACATGTTTCAGCAACTAACTTAGTATAATGTGTAGCATTTAACAATTAACGTAGCATTAGAGGCATTATTATTATTGTTCTGAAAGTACATTTCAGTGTGGTCATGACTTTCATAACAAGTGTGCCTTTCCACGAAAAATAAATCACTCCGAAATACGATTTTTTTACGTATCCGCGTGATACGATCGTTACACGTCTTAAACTTGTAGAATTTCACGTGAAAGGCCATTTCACAAAGTAGAATACAAGTGCAGTTGATATCGTCGGCACAGGTTTTTCTTTTGCTCATCTTGTGAAAACGGAAGAGGAAACATCCATTGTGGAGATCGCACTCTCTGAGATCATTGGGAACACATCACACGTGAAAAGCATTATTCGCCCCAGCTGTCTGCTGTACATTAAATTTCGTGGCAGTCGAGGGGGCAACAGATAGTTAGCTGCTAACCTCCTGCTCCATCCTCGTCCTGGAACGCGAGACGTTTTAAAACGTGAAAAGCGCTTTATTTTTTGTTTTTAGTTGCAACTTATTTGGCCAAGCGATCGTCAATGCACGCAGCGGAACTTCGCTCAAAACAATCACGAAACAAAGGCGGTCGGTAAATTTGACCTCCCCCTCGTTTTGATGCTACAAAGATAAAGATCCCCCGTGTAGCCTGTAACAGACTATTGGGGCAAGTGCTGCTAGCGAGCAGCACCTTTGAAAGGCCGGCACGGCACACGAGGGGGTGGGGTGGCCAACACCACGCCCGGCCGCCTTTGTCTCCCCCAGTGGCGATGTTAACACACCGCACCGAGACGACCTAGGGGAGCTCCGTGATCGGTTCAGATAATCGTCACCGGTGTTGGCCGTGAGCGGCGCTAAGCACGACACCACCGCTCCCCACACACAATAACAACAACATCCATCACGAAAACCTGCCGCACGTCAACGCCGAATGGTGCGGGCATCATGACCACATTTCCACGTGGTTCCTTACACAATTCTGGGTTCATTTATGTTATCAGCACCAGCAATATGCACTGTCGGATGAATGCCTCTCTCCAAAACCGTCCTATCATTTTGTTTTATACCTATATATGTGCGTTTTAACAAATGCTACAATCGGGGTTTTTTAGGCTTACCATGAAAACAATAATAATAATAAAAACCACGTGCATTTGGGGTGTGCGTGCACTCTATAAATCAACGATGGTCATGAATTATTACGACTTCCAAAACGTGGGGAAGACCGCGATTGTATCATAAACACGACTGAGTCCCCCCCCCTACCCCAACGTTAGTGAAGTCCACGCAATTTGATCAACGTTCAAAGTCACGAATGACACTCGCCTGTTTGTGTCCAGACGCCTTCCCTTTTGCAGCCTGGGTTGATGCTCAACCTTAACACTGCAACCCCACGGCTGTAACCGTGAAATCTGCAATTTCTCTATGCGCAAACGTCGTGATTTGACCACGATAAAACTATGTAATTCATCTACTAAAGCACACGGTGTTGTACATCTACCGTGGGTAGTACATGTACTGGACTATACTTGACACATTACCAAGTGCTGTACAGCTATTTAATGCACTGCACGTATTAAAATGCTGCGTAAGTGATACACACATTTGTGATTCATCAACGGTGATATATATACACACACGCACGCACTACTGGACAGCCGTGACCGGCACATAAACATGGAATCGCCACCACTCAACACACCCAAGATGACTGATGTTCATAATAACAACATCGTCGATACCAACAAATCCCTTTACAGTATTTATACAGACCCGCCCACCCAAACCCAAGACACATTTTCAAGAGGATCCTGCCATGATCCTAAACGTTTGGCCACTTAAAGCTCACATTTGCCACAGGGGTTAAAGAGTAACGATGACTTTTAAGCTACACACGGGCAGGAGAGCAATTTGCCATAATAACCAACAACCTAAAAGACCATTTCGAGTCATTGATTGCAACCTTATTGCTGCAATAACACCACCAGCAACAACAACAACGGACAGGGCCCAATCAACGACACCACCACCACTAAAGTTTTCCGACCAACTGGCCCCCCTGGGGAGGCGTGTGTAAAAAAAGAGCTTCATAGCTCATCGGATTCCTCCAGTATTTTTCGCATTGCGTGTATTGCGAAAATCTGTATCCAGCACCAATTAACGAATGTTTGCCTACAAAACACGAGCACATTATCGAAAGGCCAGAGATGCAACGATTGGGGAGGTGGATAGGGGTGGTGGCTGTGTGTGTGGGGGGGGGGGCATTTTCTGTCTATTCGAACGACACACGGGGGGGGGGGGGGGCTTTAGCCCTCTTCTTTCCCAGCGGTGGAAACTATGAGCGTCTCCGTTAATCATCTATGGAATGTCCCTGCCCTGCCCCCACAAGAGGGGGGCCCCCACGTGAAGAATGACCCCGAGAGAGAGAGAAAGGAGGGAGGAGGTTGGTGGTGATGGTGGGGAGGAGGAAGACTAAAAAAAATAACTAAAAAATATTACGAGAATAAAGAGAGGGGGAGATTTGGTGGAGGAGGGGGGGGGCGTAGTAGCAAGCAGCAGCAGCAATAACAACGCCGCAACCGTGACACGGGGAAGCCACGGTACAAGAGGGAAAAGCAGAAGGGGTGAATGGGGAACAACAACAACAAGACCCTCGCTTCGCGAAACATTCACATCGGCACGCGCGTGTGTGAGAGCGACGAGCGAAATCATTATTTGCTGACAAATCGGATGGTTATTTTTTTGAATTATAATAATAACAACCATACGTTGTGAATAAATCATTGGCGGCGACGACGACGACGACAATAATGCAAATCGCAAGAACAACTTACTTTTGGCGGAGGCGAGACTTGACGTGGCCACGCAACACAAACACAGCAGCAGTAGCCGTGAACACATCGGAGACTCCATGCCGCGTCTTGCCGCCGCCTCCTCCTCCTCCGCCTCCTCCTCTTCTCTCCCGTCTCCCTCCGATCGCTCGTATCCCTCTTCACCAAAGCAGTTCTTGCCTTTTTTCTTGTATCTTCTCCCGTATCTCCACCACCCTTCTCCTTCGTCCCCTCTCTCTCTCTCCTCGTCCGTCGATCGCCGCCGCCGCCGCCACCACCTCCACGACACGCGGGTGTCCTATCGGCCAGCCGTTGTTGTTGTTGTCGTCGCCTCCACGACTAAACCACACACCACCACCACCACCAAACACACAGCACAACACTTCCCTCCTCCTCTCTCCTGCTCTTCCCCCTCCACCACCACCACCCTTCTCGACGCACAACCACCACCACCAACCCAAACACTCCTTACCGCCACCACCCACCCATCTAGCCACCCACCTAAACCAAGCCACCCTTACTCGCCCCCAGCGCTTTTTGTTTTGATCGAGGTCAGTGCGATTGCTCGGTGGTGGTGGTGGTTGTTGTTGTTGCTGGTCGGTCGGTTGGTGGTGGTGTTGTTGTTGTAGCCCGCGTCTTGGCGGAGAGTCGGGGGCTCGAAGCGCTGTCTGTCTGGGTGGCTGGTGAGCTGAGTCTGTGTTGTCTGGCTTGATGAGGTGGGGGTGGGGTTGGGTTTGGGCTGAGCTGGGTGGTGGCTTCACGTGAAACGAGGATGGAAGGAGGAGGGAGGGAGGAAGGAGGCGTCTGTGAATGGCGAATGAACCAGAGGACGGGGCAGTCGCCCAATGAATTGCTAATGTGGATTACGAGACGGACGGCTCCTGGCCCTCCCTCCGCCGCTCTCCGCCACTATCTTCACCCCGTGGAGTAGCGTACCGCGCATTTTGGTTTTGTTTTAGTGTCTCGATTTTTAAATGTGCAAAAAAATTGAAAAATTTCAATCGGGGTGAAAATTTAATTTAGGGGGGTGGATATGAACGCGGTATGATGGGGTGGTTTTTTGATATATAATAAACTGCCGTACACTTTACGGACACACGGAAATGTTCAAAACAAAAATGGAAAATTGTTAAAAGGGTAAAACAATATATATACAGATATCGAGACATGGAATAAGGGTTAATTTTATGAAATGTCCTCACGATTTTTGGGAAGACGTTCCGCATGAGCCAAAATAATTATACGAAGTTGTCGCATATAGATAGGTCTGGCCCTAAATATTGAGTTCTTTGCTGAGCCCAGAGCTATATACTCATTGCATCCTTAAATCCCGAAATTAATAATAAATAAAAAACAATTCTAGAAAATGTTTATTTTTAAATATTCTGCTATGTGCGATTGCAATACGCATAATTAATTACCTAAATAAATCAAATCAATGCGTTTATATTTTTGTTTTAATATATTTTGCCTGTTTTTTTCAAAGCATCGCCGTATTTTTTTAATGAAAGCCTGACTTAATTCCAAATTTTCGTTGTGTTAATTTTCGTTCTATTGTCATGTACCTTATTCTCGTACAAGACATCAAGGTTTTGCGAAACACGTTTGTTTTGTGTTGCGAATGCCTTCGTTATTAAAGTAAATTGCCATAAAGCTGTGCTTTCCACAAAAAGAACGGGAAAACACCCTCGCTGTTTATTTATATCTCTCTGTTACGAAATATAATTAAATAAAAATCGCAGAAGCTACATGCAAAGTGTTCACGTAAATAAATCGGCCTCTTTAACCCATCCCCAAATTGCCCTTACTATAAAAAATATCACCTTCAAAATAAAATCAAAATATGGGATATACTTTTGGGGGGCGGGGGGGAGTGTGTAAATCCCAACCCGAAAAAATGTACACATCTAATCAAAACATGTTTTAAGTCAAATCGGAAAGCGCTAAAATTACAACCCAAAACAACATTGTTTTTATTTATTTTTTTTGGGGGGGGGAGGGAAAATAAAAGAAATATAGCGAAATAAACAATGACCCCCCCCCCCCCCAAACGAAGCAGTCAGTCGGTTGCTGCCGATTGTAAACAAGACTGCCAGTCGTAGGTTAAACACACACACACGGGCGTAATGTAAATGTACACATCACATCCACCACGTACCCGATTAACGAACGCACTACGGTCAGCACACGTTGAAATAAACAGAGAGACCGGACCTACGTGTTTATAAACTCTGCACGTTGCGGCCGAACGAACAACAACAACAACATCCCTCTCGCTCCACACACACACCCAGACAACAACAACAACAACACACACACGCACCACCATCATCATCACTACCAACCAGCCCCGCCGCAGAGGCACACACACACAGACACGCAACCAATTAGGGTAATGATAACAATGATGATGGTTCGTCGTGGTGGTGGTGGTGCTGCTGATGAAGATGACGATGACGACCGGCGGCGGCGGTGGTGATGATGATGATGCTGCTGAATATCACTAACCCCTCGGAAAAAAATTAAAAATAAAACCGCGGGTCCTACAATCCAGAGATTGAATTTCGAGCGAGTAACGAAAAAAATTAGAATCCCTACCACAACAAGACGGAATCAAGACGAAAACCTGCGGCACGTCTGTCGTAAACAACAATACCCTGGCGGCCTCCGATTGGCCAAGCGGGCCGAGAAGAAGGAATGGGGTGGGGGGGTGGCGAGGAACCGGAAAAAAACCCCGGAACGGATCTCCTAGTAGCGAGGATCCGGAGCGAAATCCGCGGCCACCGGGCTCTCATGGCGGCTGCTCAGTGTGGTGGTGGTGGGTGGGCTGGAAGCGAAATCCGGGATGGATCGCTGGTTGTCGATCCGGATTGGATGAAAACAAAACACCCAGAATTCTAGATTTGAAGCTTTCGTGACTGCAAGGATCCATACTCTTTGGTTCTATTCGATAAAGTCACGTAGGTAAAAAAATTAACAAAAAAACAACAAAAAAACACCCAGACTCGCAGGCAAACTCGGACGGGTTTGGAAACACAGCGATCGTTGCTGTTGTTGTGGTTGTGGGATTCAGACTGTGAGTTGCGTGGGATTCTGCAGATTATATCGTTTTTAAAGCTTTTAAGATTGCAGAAGTTTTCACTGAATCTCAACTCGTTTTTCCAGTAGGGTCCTGCTTTGAGGTGTTTGGCCAATACAATACCATAATTGCCTTTTAAGCGCCATGTGGGAAAGCATTGGAGTACAGTACCTATTTAAAAACGTGCATTTCAAGTATTTGACTCCTGTTATACATTTCCACGTGATAAGCCCGTTCGTTGAGCTACCATTTGTGGCCAGATCGCTTCTGAAGAAGAGCTATATAGCTCAGTGGGGGCCTTACCTGCTAAAATAAAAAATAGTGAATAGTTATGGTTTGTTAGTGAAAAAGTTGACACTCAACACTGCCGCGTACTGGTATCATCTCGTACTCCACCCTCAATGTGTGGCGCTCAAACACCCACCCACGTACTCACCAGGCACTTTTTTCCTGCTACGACACAGAGTTCGGATGAGACCTGACACGCGTTTCGGGTGGGGTGTTGTCGTACGTCATATAATGTCAACACAGACTTTACATGCAATTTAGGAAACGGGATTCATTATTGTACGTCACGTGAAATACAGCCTGTGATGGCATCATTTTAGACACGTTTTAAAATACAAAAATAAAAAACACAATTACTCTGCGAGCTATTTTCATTAGATGGTCTTGTAAATTTGTAATAAGCACACCGGAGCAACCTAAAAATTGTGCAGTATCAGAACACTGCGCTACGAACCAGATAACCCAAGTTTGATTCCAGGCCACGGATAACTTCGACAGAAAGTGGTATCTGAACTGGTCCTGAGCGCGCCCCAATCCCCTTCACCAACCAGCACTGACCAGCGTGGTGAAGTATGGCTAAAAAAAACCAACCAACTGCCATTACCGGCCATGGCATGGAGACAACTTTCGTCCAGCAGTGGATTAGCAAACGATCCATACACGAATTGTATTTATTTTAATGACACTCGAGTTACTTGTTTGTGTACAACTTGTCACTGGGTATCGGTGTCTTCGTCCGTCCTGTTGTATTTGTTTTAGGAATGAAGCAGATGAGCGAATACTATAAATAAGCCAAAACACGTTCACCGCCATTCATACGATATGATGATGATGATCGTGGGGAGAGGGCGGGAGGGTGCAGACATAACTCTTTTTCTTGTGACTCAGGCGGCCTCCATCCTCTTATTTGAGCTTTACTTTAAATAATTGATGAGATTTTTTACAATGTTTTCTCATACCCCCACCCCCTTTATTTTCTCAGTTTACAGGCCAATTGGGGGTTACTCTAATGTCATTTCATCGTGCACCCAGAGTGTCTCTGTGTGTCTCTGTGTGTGGCTTTACATTTGAAAGGATTCGGAGATATCCGAGTGAGTCCAGAGCGCTCAGATGATGCCGCTGATATGCTGAGTTCCAACCCAGGCTTCAGCCGTTCTCGAGCGTAGTGAGTTGATGGTCTCAGCCGGGACACAAATGACGACACACATAAAATAAAAATCACATGAAATTTGGCTCTGAATTAAAATTGGCAAACATACATTTCTGAGAAAATAAGAAAAATTGGCTATCGTGCGACGAGAAGTTGGGAAAGTGGTGCCCCCTACTGTGCGGAACAGAGATAACGTAATGGGATCTTGGAAGTAGATCTTAGATATCCACTTCCGTGGGCCGTTCTCTTCACATACAAACGGTTTCACTGCTCTGCGAAAGATTAAAATATATACTTTGTATCACGAAGCGACGCCGGTGGCAAGTTCAGGATACAATGGCGAAGAATATAAAATACATTTGGGAGGATTTCCACGTTGTGAAGTTCAGGCTGGGTCGTATGCAGTGCCGGGTTATCCTCGTAGCAAAAGTAGCTACATATGCTACGGGCCCCGCACTTTCAAGGGCCCCGCGCTGAATGCTTTGAAGCTATCAATTCCGGTTCAGTGATTCTGCACTTGCTCTATTACTATAGTACTATACCGCCTTCAACTTTTATGAACGACTGGGTGTTTAAGGTTAGTGATTTGTCGTATTTTCTGGCTGTATAGCAAATGAAAAAATACAATTACTTTACTATGCAAGTAAAAAATGTGTGTTTTTATATTTATGTTTTTTTATATAAATTTAGGGTCCCTTCATAACATAGGCTACAGGCCTCCGCACTGGCTTCATCCGGCACTGGTCGTATGGGTTTGGTGGAGCACAAAATAGCCCTGAGAAAACCACTGGAGCTCTGTGGGAGTGTAACGTATGTAAAAGAGTTCCCCTTCAGTGGGATCGTGCATTGGGATTTATATGAACTGCCTGGAACAATTTGGTCTTTTGACCAAAGCTGACGAGTTGACAGCTGGGTAGCTCCGGTTTGGTTTACCTTAAAATACACACACACACACGTTGATCTGCAATTTCATAGTATTTTACATGGTTAATAGTAATGTATGTTGAACTTCTTTCGTCAACGGATGTAACCAACAGTGCTAATGGGAGGTGTGCGGAGAGGACAACAATATAAACACACACAAAAACAGTTCTAAAGAAATTAGTTTTCAATTAAACCTCATGGCGAGACCCCGAGGTCCCATAAGCCCCCGGCTCTCGCATAAACATTATATTATAATGTAAACAAAAACTTTGATGTTTTTCACCAATGTTTTTGAAGGATGGTGGTAAGTGTTGTCTTTGTTAAACGATGCCTTTAAAACTGAAAACTACTTACCTGCAGTACCTCTATTTAAATACACTATCGAAAAAATAATTTACACCCCTCTGTCTGTCAAACATCGTGTTTCTCGGTGTGGATTTGTGAACACACTTTGTAAACAGTACAAAAAATAGTACGCGTTTTCAATGCGCTGTTCATATTGTAACAAGCGTTTATACCAATGCTACTCTACAGAGTGGTGGGTCGCCGCTCCTCTTATCCGCATTGATACGAGCGGTATGTGGGGACTATGGCTTAACCGCAAATAAAAACCTATCTGCACAGATGCATACAGACAAGAGAAGTATGAATGGTCAAACAGGAGGAATTAACGATGCAACGCATCTCATATGTTAAATATCTGCAGGTAATTGGATTGTCATCGATTGATCCTGGCTGCAGACATTGATAGGTCACAAATAATAATGAAGATAAGTTGAGCAGTTTCACTGTATTATGCTAACCGTTATGACAAATAAAGGACTCAAGTCGTGTAGGCAGTTTGAGCATCTTTGGATAAGACTCGTTATGATCCTGCCCATACCCAAGCATGGAGTGCATTCGCTTGTTCAGCTCTTGTGCGCCTTCATCCTCGCTGCTGCGCTTGGGACGGAGTCGCCAAAAATAAATTTATTAATTTAGATTTTGACTTCCGTTTATTCGGGACCCCGGGGTCCGGCCACGAGGTTCAAATGTCGATAACAGTAATGTACTACATAGGGGCCGTCCATAAATGACGTCACGCACATAGGGGGTGGGGGGAGGGGTCAGACATTTGTGGCGATGTGTGACGAGGAGGGAGGGGATTTGAGAAATGTGACGTCACATCAAAATGCGCAACTTTAAATAAATATAGACAACACGTTCTACTTAATTAAATATACATTTTAATACATGTTTTCTCCTACAACATCCGAGTGCAGCGGCACATTAAATACGCACTACAATGACAATAGTTTAAAGCGATTTGAAGCATGCTTTTTTTTTTGGGGGGGGGGGGGGGCAGAGCTTTGTGACGTCATATTTGAGGGTTCTAGGCTGTGACGCCGTGTGACGAGGTGGGGGGGGGGGGTCAAAAATCGACCAAAATCGCGTGACGTCATTTATGGACGGCCCCATACGACAATAGAGCTATGTTGTCAGCAGAGGTCAGTGCAGCGGAATTCATTATTGTACTGTACCGTGCACCAACGTCTATGCTCCCCGCCTTCACAAACCCGCAGTGACCAACGTGGTGAAGTATGGTCAAATAAACCCAACGAGCAGCAAAGCCGTGGAGAGAGCCTCATCCAGCAGTGGATTGGCTGGGGGACTGGTTGTGCGTGTGCTGTCCCATAGTTCAGATTTAAACTCGGCACCTAAACGTGTTTTGGAAAAAAATATATATAGAGAGAGAGAGGAAAGGAAAATTGTACGCAAGTCTATCAGAGTGAAAAAGCCCATTAGTACATGATGTACTTACTGAAACATCCCCTATTAAAACAAATTAAATGATTTCTCTTTTAGAGAGAGCCCGCCTGTGGCATCTGTTATGGGTGCTGTTA